TAGCAAAGCTTTATCAGCTCTGCATCATTGTAGGTGGTGGGCATTTCGCTGATACAATAACTAGAAAGCAAAATTTTTAAATAGTAATGCACCGATACGGGTTTTCTTTATTGTTATATTATTTATCATTTTGTTTACTTGATTCTGAGCATTAGTCTGTAACTGATAAAGTTCAAGCAATGCCTGGTCTCGCTCCTGCTTGTATATATCACGATTCCATCGTTCGTTCACCAGATCTTGTTGCAGGTTAGTATATTTATACTGAATTGCTCTTGTTGATCTTTTAATTTGATTTATTAAAATAGTTCTACATATTGTTATATTATCTAAGGATTGGTCTATAGCATTAGCCAATTCAGCTATTGTACTCATATTATCAGAATTATACAAGTCTAGAGAATTTTCATCAGAATCATATTCATTTTTACCAAAATTCCATGCCTGTGCATTTTGTAAAGCCTCTTGTGTATTTCTAAGCTCTAATTTATTTTGATATCTTAATAATACTAATGCAAAATTTTAACAAAGCAGGTCCATAATACGATTTTTTTGCTGATTTATTTTATTAATTCTATTTATTTTGATTAACCCTTATTGTATTTATTTCTTATTTAAGGCATTCGTTTTCGTCTACTAATCTGGTTGTATAATCTTGTACTTTAAGCGTATTTCCAGCCGATTTAGATATCTCTCGTATTTGGGTTTTTAATTTTGTTTCGCGTTCATCGAATTCTGATATTAATCTATCTTTATTAGAAATTTCTTTGTCTTTCTTTTTATTTTCTTCCTCGAGTTGGTGAACGATTCTTTTTAATTTTGAAATTTCTTCTATTAATTCTTCTTTCTCTTGTGTAGAGAGTTCGATAGCATTATTTAACTCTTCTTCAAGAAATCGTATTCTCTCTTCCCGTATATCTATAACCCTTTCTAAGGTATATAGTCGCTGTTTGAAATTCCTATTTGATTCTGCTTAGGGTTCCGCAAACTCAAATCAAATCAAATATTGAATTAATTTGAATTTGATTTGATTTTTTCAAATCGAATATTAACTTATTTGAATTTGATTAAATCAAATCGAATCAAATATAAAGCTAATTTGTATTTGATTTGATTTGATTTGATATATTTGAATAATATATGCCTGACACAAGCCAAATATAGTATGTTGGATATGTAAAGCATACAACTTATTCTTATATGTAGTGAACTTTCATAACCATTATTATTATAGACTACCGCTACATTCAAATTATTAGTTTATTACTCATTTTATTATGAATATCCGGATATCCAGATTCTTTATAATAATTTTGTATAAAATTAAATTAGAAGATATTCGGAATACATCTCTAACTCTAAACAAATATTCAACCCTATTATTATTATAACTAGTGATAGCATATACATGAATTTGGAGAATACGTACATGCTTTGTAGGTATATTATAATGTATATTGTGAAGGGTTAACGGGTACCCTCAGTATTTATTTATTTATTTATTTATTATTATATATTTTATTATTACATTCGGAAAAAACTGGATATCTTTACCTTATTTAGGAAGATTGTAAATTCTGGCTATAGTGAACATTTTGAATATGATATAAAAACAGTAAACACAATGTATTTATGAATAGCACGAAAGCTATAAAAGCACTGCCTTTTTATCCCAATAAAATAGAACTCAGAGTTCAGAAAGTCTAAACCTGTGATCCGAATTGGAGCTTCATAATACAGTATAGAGCTCTAATATATAACTTCAATTAATCAGACCAAGTCTATCCATGCCTCTTTCGTAGCCTTTCATTATTGGGATTTGGATTAAATAGTAGTATTAGTGTTTATCGATATCGTGAGGCCCATATTTTGAGAGCCCAGATCAGTTACGCCCCTCACAACGTACATCCCCTGTACTTTAAGTATATCTAGGCAACCATTTTATATAATTAAAAATATTTAAAAAAGATTTGTTGTTATAATAAAATAAAGATAAAGTTTAAATAAAAAAAAAACTAATTTAAAATTTTTATCATTGTTTGACTTATGAGATAAGCCCAGTTTTATTATCGTGTAAACCTAGTACATATTTTTGAATACATTAGTTTTGTTGGCTTTTGTCAGTTTCGCCCATTTTCATTAGTTTTATCACCTTTCATCAGTTTTATTATTTCATTATTTTAGGCTTTAAATTGATAGTAGACGAAGCTGGTTGAAATAAACTATCTTATAGTATAGCAGCAGGTAAAAAAATGTCGGTATAGTAATATAAATTAATGGATAAGTCAAGTATCTGTTATATGGTTTGGGCTGCTTCCGCGGCCCCAAATATCTTTTAGATATTTGATTTATTCACTGATATTATCGTTCATTATTTATTATGGGTCTGTATTAAATCACTTCATAGACAACTTAGTTCACAACAATTAATTTAAGACAAAATTATTTTACTGATTATTAATTCAAAAACAAGTTTATTTTATGGGCTATATTTTTACACAACAGCCTATTTCACATATTAGGAATAAAAGGTATACCCCTTAAGGTTAGTGTTAAATGAGCTGTTAGCAAAATATATTGTCTATGAAATGAACTTGTCTGTGAATTAATCATCTGTAAAATAAACCTTGTTTGTGAATTAATTGTCGGTAACTATAATGTTTGTCGGTGAGCTAATCAAAACTGATTAATTATTTATTATATATTAAAAATCTAGAGTCTCACTAATTATCGAATATTTTATTAGGTGGTGTGCATTTTGTAAACAATCACTTCACCGCAAAGACACAGAAAAAATGCTATTTTATTTAAAGGATTTGAAATTCCTATAAAATGGCATTTTCTCCATGTTCCTGCTTCACTGACAGTTTAGTTTACCGACAATTAATTCACAGGCAAATTCATTTCACCGACAATTAATTCACTGACAGCTCATTTTACTGACAAAATAATTCTGGTCATTGTTGTTAGTATCAAGTTAGAATTAGAGTTAAGGTTAGTGTAATTTATAAAAAATACTTGTCGGTAAAAATGAGTTCTATCAGTGAAATAATTATCAAATGAACTTTGTTGGTAAGTTAATTGTCCATTTTTGTGGAACAAAATTGCTTGTCCGGCTCAATATAACAACCATGATATCCGGAAGCACGATTTAAGAGATTTTGTCTAGTTGGCATTACCGGCCCTTGACTATATGATATTATAGTTGTAATATATATAATAATTCTAAATAAAAAAAAATATATCAATTGATATTATGGGGTCTGTATTATTTCATCAACAGCTTATTTTACAAGTTTTTTTATAGACCACACTAACCTTAACCCAAATTCTAAACCTAACCCTAACGACAATGCTAGATAGCTATCTGATAAGAAAAGGCTTTAGCTTAAATACGCTTATAAACAAGAAAAAAAAATAAAAAAAATACTTATCGATTTGGATCCAGGGTTATTACATCAAATAATTCGAATCAATCAAATCAAATCGAATATTTGATAGTCAAATTCAAATCAAATATTAATCAATTTGAATTTGATCAAATCAAATTTGGTATTGATTTGAATTTGATTTGAAGTCAAATATTTGATCAAATCAAATCAAATCAAATCAAATTGCGGAACCCTAATTCTGCTAATTGCGATACCACCTCATAGAGTTCTTGGTTAGTTTGTTATAACTCATCTATTGTTTTTTATTACTATAATAAAACAAAGGAATGGAGAAACCTGTAATTTATATTAACCCACAAAGGGCCCATGATTTGGATAGAGAGATTACTTTGCAAAAAATTTATTATAGACCTGAAGATTATTATCGGACAGCTGAAAAAATGCGGGATGCTTGTAAAAAGGCAGGATATGAGTTCACTTTGGCTATAATAAAAAATTGGCTTAACAAACAGGCCTTATATCAGATCCATAAGCCTAGGCCAAAATTTATCCAATATGCTTCTTTTAACAATGTACGAATATTAAATAAAGTATACCAGTCTGATACTACACCTATGTCTTATAATAAAGTTGGCAATCAAACTTATAAATACCAAGGAGTGATAAAGGATATTGCAACTAGATATCGGCGCAGTTTCGCTTTGATTGATAAAATAGCTATGCAAATGGCTAGAGAAATTCAGAAAATTTATGATGATCCAAATTGTCCACTTAGCTGGCCAAAAGTTTTAATCATGGATAAAAGAACTGAATATATGGGTGAGTGTAGAGATTTATTTCTCAGACATGGCGTAAGAATTCAGTATACTAAATTTAAACGAAGTGTGGCTATCGCCGAGCAAGATCACCAAGAATTTGAAAAGTATGCCTTTTTTCGTCAAGATGCTATGGACTTACATTTATCATTGACTAATAGATCTAGGGAGTGGGTTGTTGACCTTCACATTAATGATGATAAATATAATGATTCCCTTACGAAGTTAATACACATATTACCCAATGAAGCTGTAAAAAAATCATTAGAAAGTGAGAAAATCTTTGCAGATCCAGCTGTCAAGCACAAAAGGCCCATAGGTTATAATGAACCCCTCCTATCATCTGATGTTAAAGTTCGGCATCTATTAGAACCTGGTGAACTAGAAGGCTGGAGAAGGAGGGCTACTGATTGTAACTGGTCTCCTGAAATTTTTTCGATCGAATCATTTTCAAGAAAAAATAACCAGCCAGTTCTCTACAAGCTACGTAACGGTCTGAGATGCCCATTCGTGAGAGAAGAACTTCAAATTGTAAAGGATGTGCATTTACCTCCTAGGTGGGTATTGGGAGGAAACCGAATGCATTCAAGGCACTCTTGATGAAAGTTGGCAGATCAACAACACAATAAGGAATTGTGATAAGAATTATACCTTCCTTAAAACAGAGTGCTCTCTTCTTCCAATCGCGTTGAATTTGTGCATCTAAATTAATTTGTCCTTGTGGATAGAAAAAAGGAACGATTTGATAATGCTGATTACCACTGTATTCGAAGGCCAAATATAATTCTTCATTATATCCATCAAGTTGTAAGCCTCCTAAAAATTTAGGTTTTTGAGGTGGGAATTTTTTATGTAATAATTCTTCAAATATATATCGACATCTTCGCTCAAATATATGAGGACAACTATTGCACAACCTATAATTTCGTTTTATATCTCTATAGGATGCTTCCTATCAATGCTGATTTTTACAAACCTATAAATAAATATTAGGGTTTGATCTAACTTTAGCCAAGTATTGTCCTTCACGTCTTTTGGCAAGGTAAAGGCTTTAGTATCAATCTCATTATAATCTTGCATTTTTATGATATAATCGAAGTTATATGATTTTTCAAATTTTTTTCTAATACATTTAATGTAAGAAAGTAGAATACTTAACAATATAGGTTAATAATATCATCAATGTCTGATAAGTCATCTTTTTTATTACCATATGTGATTGATAATGCTTGAAGCTGGGTAATTTCAAGGCCAACCACCTTATACCATGTATTCCTGAAATCTATTAATTCTCGACACTCTGATTCCAAATTATATAGAAATATATATTGTTCCAGAATTGTAATTTTGGGTTTGCATTTTTGCACCTGCGTAATTAAATCATACATCACATTTCTATATCCTACATTAAGCTTAGACAATTTTGAAAGTAGATTCAATAATTTCGAACGAGTGGAGTTTGTAATTTTGTCTAATATATTAAGGTAATTATTATGCTTCGCAGAGATGTCTGAAGATTTGGTTATGCCAGCTTCACTAATGCCAGAACATATTTTTTTAGCTTGAGTAGTAGCATTTTTCCATAAATGGGAGATAATAGCTTCATCTTTTTTCAGTGCATCACATAAGTTCTTAATATAATTTTTGAGCCATTTTTAGCCGACTTCTGTGACTCTTCATCTTTAATTTTTGCTATTTCATCTTCATCTAGACTCGGAGAGTCATTGTTCTGCAATAAATCCTTAGCAATTTTTAATTTCTTCTCCTTGGATTTCTTTTTGCAATCCATGACTTTTGAGAGGGATTCAGGCGATGGTTGATATTTATCATCATAATTTATAAAACGAGCACAGAGACCAAATAGACTTTCGATATAATAATCAATATTTATTTTCTTGTTAAACTTTTTTACCACATCTGGGTATTCCATAC